GATTTCCCCTCCAAGGTCCTTCCCCCCTCCCCCAGATGTTCAGAGGTGGTTTGCCGTTGCCTGCTTCTGCGTCTCATTGCTGATGGTAAGGGACGGGTTGGCCGGAGTGTGAGACAGGAGGATGGACTAGATGGACCCTCACTGGTCTGATCCAGCAGGGCTCTTCTGACGTTCTTACATTCCTTGGAGGTCTCCCATCCAAGTTCCAACCAGGGCCATCCCAGCTTAGCTTCCTAGATCTGATGAGATCGGGCTAGCTTGAGCCACCCGGGTCAAGGCAAGAGTCGATCAGAGGTGTTTTACCCTTGCCTGACTCCGTATAGCAACCCTGGGCTGCCCTGGTGGTCTCTCATCCAAGGACAAGCCAGAGCCAACCAAGATCTCATGAGGCTGGTCCAGCCTGGGCCATCCAGGTCAGGGAAGATGAACAGAGGTGTTTTGCCCTTGCCTGCTTCTGCGGAGCAACCCTGGGCTTCCTTGGTGGTCTCCCATCTAAATACTGAATAGAGCCAACCTTGCTTAGTTTCTGACAAGATCAGGCTAGCCTGGGCCATCCAGGTCAAGGCAGGAGACGACCAGAGGTGGTTTGCCATTGTCTGTCTCCGCAAAGCAACCCCAGATTTCTTCGGCCGTCTCCCATCCAAGTAAAAACCAGGGCCGGCTCTCCTTAGTCTCTGGAGTTTGGGCTAGACTGGGCTATCCAGGCGAGGTCAAGGTCCTTTAAAGCGAGGTGATTAGGGGACAGAAAAAATATGTTAGTGTGGTTTATGTAGTTGCCTTTACTCTGCCTTGTTTTGGTTTTCCTCTCTCAGTTTTGGAATTTTGACTTGCAGCAAACTGCAGTCATTCTTTATTTCTCTCCCTCTCCCTCTCTCCCTCCCCTCCTCTCTTTATTTATGTGTGGTTACAGGAAAAGAAACGCTTAACGATTAGCAATATCGCCCGCCAGTGGGAGAGCCAGCAGAACCGCCTTGCCCTTCTGTCTGCCAATCAAGAGAATAACACAGACAATGACTCCTGCCAGGACAACCAAAGTGATGCGTACTCCTTGTCCGAAGAAACCAGGTACGCGGGCTGTGGGCCCCTCTTGAGCCAGGCCCCGGAGGGGCACAGCCTCCCTTGGCTGTGAACCGTTGGGCTCTAGGCTAGAGGTGTCGAACTCATTTGTTATGAGGGCCAGTTGTGACATAAATATCACTTTGTCGGGACGGGCCATGCGTGCCATAACATGTAGTGCCAGGTACTGGAGATATAAACTTTCTAAAGGACACAGGCAAACCCAATTACCAATATTATTTTAACCTCAAAATACAAACAGAAGCAACTGATTCCTAGTGGTGAACATAAGACCATCACTTGCCCCAGCCTGAGAGTTCCTATCTGTACCTCATGGCTAATAGCCACTGATGGACCTCTGCTCCATATAAGAACATAAGAGAAGCCAATGTTGGATCAGGCCAATGGCCCATCCAGTCCAGCACTCTGTGTCACACAGTGGCCAAAAATACCAGGTGCCATCAGGAGGTCCAGCAGTGGGGCCAGGACACTAGAAGCCCTCCCACTGTTGCCCCCCCCAAGCACCAAGAATACAGAGCATCCCTTGCCCCAGACTGAGAGTTCCTATCTATACCTTGTGGCTAATAGCCACTGATGAAAGCAGTTGATTTACCGGGGAACCCACAAAAGCCCCAATATATGTATTTGATCACATGCAAGAGTAGTTTTTTCCCCCAAGGGATACCATAAAAGGGGGAGCACCTGACATTTCCATACATACCAGTTGCTTGCGGGCCGGGTGGGAGCCCTGGACCGGCCACTTCCGGCCCCCGGGCCTTTCGCTTGACACCCCTGTCCCCTCTGGAGGTCTTCCTCACGGAACCCTGAACTCGGAGGTTGTGGTTCGAAGCAGCTCTCTGCTGGAGAGCACCCTTTGGGTCCCCACAGCACTGCCCTTCCCCATTTACCAGGAGACCACTTTCCGTTGTGGCCCTTTGTGGCGGTCCCCGTATCTCCAAAAGGACATTGCAGAGCTGGGGAAAGCACAGAGGAGGGGCGACCAAGATGACTCGGGGGCTAGAGCACCTTCCCTTTGAGGAAAGGCTGAAGAGTCTCTGGGATATTTTTGGTTTAGAAAACAGACGACTAAGGGAGGACATGAGAGAGGTTTGTAAAATTGTGCAGAGGGCGCTCCCTCTCCCGGAAGACTACAACTCGAGGGCATCCAGTGAAGCCGATGGGCAGTAGGTTCAGGGCGGACAAAAGGAAATACTACTTTACACGGCGAGTGATTGAAATGTGGGATTTGCTGCCAGAGGATGTTGCGATGGCCACAGGGATAAACAGCTTTCAAAGGGGAATTCGATTCATGGAGGATAAAGCTGTCAGTGGCTCCTAGCCGTGGTGACTGAAGGGAACCTCCATGTTCAGAGGCACTGATCCTCTGAATCCCAGTGCTAGGAGGCAACCCCAGGGGAAGGCCTCGGCTGCTCTGCCCTGTTGTCGGCCCTCCAGAGGAACTGGCTGGCCCCTGTGTGAGGCAGGATGCGGGACTAGATGGACCCTCACTGGTGTGATCCAGCAGGGCTCTTCTGATGTTCTTATGAAGGCCTCAGCCTCTACGCCCTGTTGTTGGCCCTCCATAAGCAGCCTCTCTGCCCTGTTGTTGGCTCTCCAGAGGAACTGGTTGGTCATTGTGTGAGGCAGGATGCTGGACTAGATGGACTATTGGCCTGATCCAGCAAGGCTCTTCTGATGTTCTTACATTTCTTATCGTCCTCTGCAAGTGATTCTCGGCTGTTAGAAACTGTGTTGGCCGTAGGATAAGATGGCGGGGGTGGTGCTGGTATACGTTTTAAGATAAATAATTGGTGGTGTACCGGCTCCACATATGGACGCTGCATCCAGCCATTAAATAGGGCCTTTCCTCCATCATTTGAGTCCAAACGCTTTCTCGAATCTTTTATTCTCTCCTTTTTTGCTCACTGCCATCCTCATGGGCCTTTTGGTGTACCGGCTCCACATATGGATGCTGCATTTAGCCATTAAATAGCGCCTTTCCTCCATCATTTGAATCTAAACGCGTTCTCGAATCTTTTATTCACTCCTTTCTTGCTCACTGCCATCCTCATGGGCCTTTTGTTCTCCAGGGGCTGAAAAACACGCACAGGGCTCTTTTGAGCAAACTAGATGGGTAGTTAGCGGGACCGGGGTTTTGGCGGGGCAGGGGGGGGCTGTCATGCGGCCTGTTCAGTAACCGTTGCATCCTCCTTCCAGCTTCAGCCTTGTCATTCATCACGTTAATTGGGGAGCACGGGACAGAAGTTCCGCCCAAGGCATTACTCAACTGAATGGCCAAGCTCTTTTATTTTTTTAAAAAAGGAATGATAGGGGTTTGTTGGCTGAGGGGAGTTGGAGACACGGGAGTAGCTTTGTCAACGATATGTCAGGGAAAGACAGGTCCTCGCCCCAGGCGTTTGAGCTCATGAAAAAGAAAGTTGACGTTAGAAACCGAAGTTGTGGAAAACAGTGGTCCCTCTAAGCTGTGGAGTCTTATGAGCAAAAATTCTGCTTTGTGAGTTACTGGCTTTAAAGTTGTGAGCCAGCAATTTGGCTGCTGCATAAATCAGTTTGCTCTGGAGCCATCCTTCCTGAGCCAAGACAAAAATCTGTGAGCTGGAGGCTAAAAAATTGTGAGCTAGCTCACACTAACTCAGCTTAGAGGGAACACTGGTGGAAAATATATGTGTGTGTGTGTTTGTGTTTGTGTGTGTGTGTATTCCCTCTCCCCATAAAGATGTTCAAGGGTGTTTGAATGTGCTTTGAAGATCTTCTGTCCAGGATGTAGGCAGAGTAAGCAGAAGAGAGAAGAAGAGATTGGATTTATACTCCCGCCCTTCACTACCCAAAGGAGTCTCAGAGCATCTTACAATCTTCTTTTTTTCCCTTTCCCTCCCCACAACAGATACCCTGTGAGGTAGGTGGGGCACAGAGAGCTCTTTCGAGGACTGCCCTTGAGAGAACAGCTCTGAGAGGGGAGGGAGGAGGAGGAGGAGCAGGAGGAGGAGATTGGATTAATACCCCACCCTTCACTCGGAGTCTCAGAGCGGCTTACTCCTTCCCCTCCCCACAACAGACACCCCCTGAGGTAGGTGGGGCTGAGAGAGCTCTTTCAAGGACTGTCCTTGACAGAACAGCTCTAACAGAACGATGGCTTGCCCAAGGTCACACCAGCAGCTGCATGAGGAGGAGCGGGGAATCAAACCCGGTTCTCCCAGATTAGAGTCCGCACTCCTAACCACTACACCAGACTTTGTGCATGCTTGAGTACCACACATGTCAGTTTGGTGTAGTGGTTAAGTGTGCGGACTCTAATCTCGGAGAACCAGGTTTGATTCTCCACTCCTCCACTTGCAGCTGCTGGATGACCTTGGGCAAGCCATCGTTCTGTTAGAGCTGTTCTGTCAAGGACAGTCCTT